CCAGGATCGAACAATCTAAAACGAAGGAGTGTCATTCTGTAGGTGTGAGCAGAGGAGTGATTGGCACATGGGCTTGGCAGAGAGTTCAAATCCTGGCTCTGCTTCTTGGTAGCTGTGGGATTTTAAGCCAGTGGCTTAACTACTCTGAACCTCACTTTTTCACCTGTAAAATGAGGATGCTATCACTCACTCACCTGGGAGTAGGATTGTAAAGATTCAAGCAAATGGTGAAGGTATGGGATTTTGCACATAGTAGATGCTCAAGAAATGTTAGTCATCATTACTGGAGAAACTATATAGTCTAGGGGAAGCAGGAAAGGGGGGTTTACCATTCTGCAAGTGCTTACAGTGTGGCAGGGACTGTCACAGGTGCTTAAACTCACCAGATCAGTGACACCAAGATTCTGTGGGTCCTGGGCAGAATCCTGTATAATTTATTGGACACGTGCATCTCTCCTTTTGCTCCTGGTATCCAGTGGTTGGTTTCCCTCTGCTGCTCCTGCCCCGGGACTGCGGGGTTCCTGTCCACTGTGCTGATGGCTTCTCTGTAGTACACAGTAGGAGAGGCAGGGGCCATTGGAAATTGTCAGAGGCTTGCCATGTCCATTAACTCCCCCTCAAACCTGACATTATGGCTGCACTGCATGGAGCATCGTCTGCAGGCAGCTGGGAGGACGTCTTAGGATCGCCTCCTCTCAGGTTGGAAGGTGGTTAAGCGGCTCGCCCGGGGTGATGAATTCAGGGATCCGAGCCCTGCTGTCCTAAAATTCTCCCTTCTACTCCCACATGAGGTTGAGTTCTCTGAAAGCAGAACCAGCGATGGGATTTCTAGGACTAGTGATGACTCAGGGACACAGTGTAGGGCAGTGGGGTTTGTGGCTTCATCTGGAGTCTGGCCGCTGTCCGATCACACAGGGAGCTCTGGAGCTGTTGGCACACAGAGCTGTCCCACCTGGACCCAAGGAGGCTGTGCGTTTATGTCCCCACCTTGTCCGTTATTCACTGGCTTTGGGCTGCACCTCGGGCAAGTGTCGCCTCCTGTATCTCTGGGCAAGGCAGCTGCTTTTCTTGGCTGAGGGAGTTCTCTGGAAAATGGTGCTGCCCTGAGCTCTTGGCTGCTAACACTCCTAGAGGTGTGTGTGTGTGTGTGTGTGTGTGTGTGTGTGTATGGCCGGGGTGGGGGGTGTGTGGACGCCCCTCCTGTAAAAGACATCGGCAGTGACTGCCATCCCACTCCCCTCCCGGCCCCCCCAGTGAGGGCCTGCCTGCAGACACATGACCTCTTTTCTCCGGGCTCGACCCTCGGCTGTTCAATGCCTCGATGCCTCAGGCATCCCCTCTCCTGGCCCAAGCCCAGCTGACCAGGGCACGCACTGGACAAGGAGTCCAGTCCTGATACGTGAAGTGCTTTGAGAGCCCTGGATGGCAAAGTTGAAACAACGGTACTGTCCGGGCTGGCTTCTGGCCTGGAGGATGGAGCTGGGTAGTTTCCACGGGGCTGACAGCCAGGGCTTTCGCACTTTGCGGGCAGAATTTTAATAGGAAATGAACTCCTGGTGCGCATGACTGAATGCTGGGGTCGGTGGGGGGCGGAGGCAGGTTCTACCTTTAGGGCAACAGAATTTGGAGATCAGAGTTCATGGGGGGGTGGGGGACTGTGTAAGCCTTGCCCCAGCCCTCCCTGCTTCCTGGGACCCCTCCACCCCCACCCCCCAGGGCAGTGCTTCATCTCTGCTGCAAAGCAGAAAGCAGGGTATTCAAGTAAGCATTCCAAGTCCAGTCCAGAGGCAACAAACTGGACACATTACCTGGATCTGAGGCTCTGAGCACCCAGCAGGGCCCAGGGTCCCCGGTGCCCAGGATGGCCTCGCTTGGCTCCTGCCACAGGCAAAAATGAGACATTAAGTTTCTTTTCTTTTTTTTTTTTTTTTTTGAGACATTAAGTTTCTTTTCAGCACATTTCCTCTGCACCAGGAGCCATCCCTCCTTTCTTTCTTTTTCCCAAGTGGAAGCAGTGAAATGGTCCTATGAGTGTGGGGAGATTATGTCAACCACAGGGGAGCAGATGAAATGGCTTTTCCGTAAGAGGCCTCCCTCCTCCGTGTCCAGGCTTCAGCCCACTGGCAGATTTAATTATCCCACCAGCTACAGGAGAGGAGAGAGAGTTCACCCCACCCGGCTTCTCAACTAATCAGTCCCAGGAAACGAGGCCATGTTGTACCAAGACCTTCAGGGAAATCAGGACCCATTGGACACAGTGATCCTCTTTCTAAAGTTGTTTTTTGTTTTTTAAAATTGAATGTAATCTCTGTGGTCTCTCCCCCTTTACTCTTTGGCTAGACCCTGCGGGTGGGGCAAGGTGGGAAACTCCGCAGAGGACAGAAGCCTGGCTGAATTCAGCTGGACTGCCTTCGTGTTCAAGGAGACTCATGCATGCATTCAACAAATATTTAGTAAGCACCTTCTGTGTGCCAGGTGCTATGTGAGGTGTTAGAGATTAGGAGGGAATAGAACAGAATAAGTCCTGCGAGGGGCTTACATTTTAGAGATAAGACATACAGACTCTAAGCAAATCAGCAAGACCTATGATACATTTGGGAAGGGATATGAGCTCTGAAGAAAAGGAAATCAGAGTGAAAGAAGCCAGAGTGGAGGAGCTAGAGGAGGAGATGTTTTAATTGGAGCAGTCAGGGAGGGCCTTTTGAGGAGGTGACGTTTGAGAATAGACCTAAACAAGGGAGGAGAACGAACCAAGCAAACATCTGCAGGTGAGTTCCAGGCAGATGGGAGGGCAGGGAGGTGGGGTGTTGGAAGAAGCCCAGGGAGGCCTGTGGGGCTGAGTAGGGAACAAGAGGAGGGTGGCAGATAGGGTTAGAGAAGGAGGTCATGAGGACCCAAAATCATGCTAAGGAGTTGAGACCTTGTTCTGGGAGCAATAAGGAGCCATTGAAGACATTTGAGCAGAAGAGTGACATGGGCTGATTTATTTTATTTCGGGTGAAGAAAGGGACATAAAGTACACACCTGGCTTTTGCAGATGTACACAACACCCAGTTGAAGATACAGAACATTTCTACCCTTCAGAGTTCCCCTTCTGCCCCTTCCCAGCCAGTACCCTCAGTATCCCAGAGTTAGCCACGGATTTGCTGATTTCTACAACCATCAAACAGCTTTGTCTGTCCTTAACCTTCATGTAAACGTGATCAAATAGTGTATCCTCCTTTGCCGTTGGCTTCTTCCATAAAACACCGTGTCTGTGTGATTTGTCCCCCATTGTCACGTACATGAGGGGATTGTCTTTTACTGTGGGCCAGTATTTTACTGTGTGAGCAGACCACCTTTATCTATCTGCTCTCCTGCTGATGGGCACTTGGATGATTTCTAATTAGCTGTTACGGATAAAGAGGTTATGAACATTCTTGTCCGTGTTTTAGAACATGAGCATTTTCCCCTTGGGTTTATGCCTGAGAGTAGAATTCGTGAGCTGTAGGGTTGGTGAATGTTTATAGCTCTAACGAGCCTGCCAGTTTTCCAGAGTGTCATCTCCCTCTCCCGACTTCACTGAGATAAAATTCACATACCATACAATTCACCCATTTAAAGTAGGCAATTTAGGGGACGCCTGGGGTGGCTCACTCGGTTAAGCGTCCTCCTTCAGCTCAGGTCATGACCCCAGGGTACTGGGATCGAGTCCGGCATCTGGCTCCATGCTCTGCGGGGAGCCTGCTTCTCCCTCTGCCTGCCACTCCCCGGGCTTGTGCTGTCTCTCTCCCTCTCTAACAAATAAAGAAATAAGAGCTTGGAAAAAATAGACGTCTTAGTCGCTTTTAGTATATACACAGAGTTGTACAACCATGATAACAGTGAATTTTAGAACATTCTCGTTCTCCAAAGAATCCCCGTACCACATAGCCTTCATCTTCAGCCCTTCTGCCCTCCCCCAGCCTCTGGCAATCAGAATCTATTTTCTGTTTCTCTGGGTTCACCTGTTCTGCACATTTCTTATAGAGGAAATCATACACCATGTGGCCTCTTGTGTCTGGCTTCTTTCTCTCGGTATCATGGTTTGGAGTTTCCTCCACGCGGCAGGTGTGAACGCTTCCTTCCTCTCTAGGGCTGGACGACATTCCGTTGCGTGGACAGACGCCTCTTGTTTGTCCATTCAGCAGCTGGTGAATACTGAGTCTTTTCTACCTTTTGGCTATTGTGAATAACGCTGTGATGAGCATTTGCGTACCGGGTTTCACGTGGGTGTGTGTTTTCATTTCTCTTAGGTGGGTAAGATACTTAGGCGTGGAGTCGCTGGGTCATATGGGAGCTCTGCGTTTCACCGTGGCTATGCCGTTTTTTACAAGCTGTGACTTAAGTGTGTGGACATCCTACAGGCATCTGCGTGGAGCGTGGACTGAAGAAGGCCAAGGGTAGAAGCAGGTCCCCTGCTTCTACCCTTGGTAGGCTACTGCAGTAAGCCAGGCACAGATAGCCTGGTGCGGATCAGCACAGTAACCGGCCAGGCAGAGAGCAGTGGGCAGATTCTGGGTCTTATTATGAAGCCCAGGCTGACATGATTTTCTCATGACTTGGTGTTAAAATATTAAAAAAAAAAAAAAAGCCAGGATTGACTCCAGGATTTTGGATCACAAAGCTGGCCAAGCCAAGTGCATGGGCAAACGAGTCCAATGACTTCCGCCAGTAGGAAGACCCTGGGTTGGAATTAAAAATTCCGATGACCCCCCTCTCCCCCGCTGAGTTAGTCAAGGAGAAGAATGTGCATTTAAGGAAGAAGGCTCTCCCTGATCGTTTCTGCCACTAGGGAAGGTGTGGCATCCAGCAGGAAGTCTTCCCCTTGGGGCCTCAGTTTTCCCCATCTGGGAAATGGAGAAGCTGGGCAAAGTTCCCTTTCTTTTCTGCATCCTGCAGAGTACTTGGCATAGAGTAAGGATTTGAGAAATGTAGAGCAGCTGCATAACTGGGTGATGTCCTGTGTTCCTATTTTCCAGGAGCACCAAACTCCCGCCATGACTGACACCGTATTCAGCAACAGCTCTAGCCGTTGGATGTGTCCTAGCGACCGACCACTGCAGTCAAAGTAAGTCGTCGCGTCTTCCAGGGCATGGCTTGTGTGGGGTCAGCGAGGGAGAAAGGAGTCCCAAAGAAACAAATAGAATTTCTTTCCCTGCGGTGGGAAGAAATGAATCCAGTGAGGGTATTGTTACACAAACTTCACTTTTACTGCTTTGCAAGTTTGGAATGATGAGCAAATTCTGAACTGCACGCCCCAGAGTAGAGGCGGCGGGAAGAGCATGGACCGGTGCTTAGAACCAGGCTCTGTTCTGCTTCTAGACCCGAGCTTTTTTCCTGTGTGATCAGAGGCGAAGCTTTGCCCCTCTCTGGGCCTCAGTTTTCTTATCAGTCACATAAGAAAGTTGGATCAGGTCACAGGGTGCAGACTGGCAGGCCACCGGCTGACTCAGAAGTGTTTTCGTGCTATTTGTTTTTGGCCTAATGATTTAAAAATCGGGAAATGTGACACCAAGGTGACGTCACATTCTGTATCCAAGGATTATTATACCCAAATCAGTGATGCCTCAGATCTGTACCACCCTGGCTTACGAGGGCTGATCAATTTTCAGGCATTTTGCAAGCTGATTATTAAACACAACCATTCTGAAAAATTGAGTTTGTAATTCTGCAATTAAACAATGTTCAACACAAAGGATATAAAGACTCAAAATTAATCGCTTAATTATGTTACGACATTGTGTTATTCTCTGTGTTATGTTATATACCCGTGTGTATAATGATACGCTGCCGTGCCTTTCTTCCCAGTTTTGCATCCAGTGGGGTTTTGTCCCCACTGTTAAATCGTCCGTGGCAAAAAGTTCACCAGCATGCCACTGACTGTTGGACAAACTAAAGCTGTTGTTGATCGTTCTTGCAGATTTTCACTCAAAATGGCTTGTTTCTTTGAATGCTGGCTAATTTTTTATTGTGCGCTCAATCTGCGAGAATCCTGGGGAATCTCCTTTGGGGATGTTTTTCTTCAGAGGGATTGGCACTCTTGCTCCTGCTGGGGGAGTCAGGGGTACTGCTCCCCAACAATGATGTTAACCTTCCCCCGCCCCACCCAGGAACCCCCAGAGGGTCCTGGCTCCGTGTCAGGGTCTCAGATTGAGCTTCTCTGCCCATGAGGAGCTGAGGTCAGACTTTGGAACAGCAGTGCTGGTGTTTGCCTCGACTTCCTGCTCACAGCTCACTGTCCTGGATTGCGTTTGCTTGGTCTTCTTTCTCTTTTTCCAAAAATTGCCTTTATAAAGGTATACATGCGTACCTTCGACAGTACACAGTGAAAGTACAATTTGATCATTGTAAAAACATATACTCATGAAGCTGTCACAGTAGTCAAGCTAATGAACAAACCCATCCATCCCAGAAGCCTCCTTGTGCCTCTTCCTCCATCTCCTCCCCACCCATCTCTAGGTAATTGCTCATCTATAACTATAGACATTATAATAACTGCACATTAGTTTGCCTTTTCCAGAATGTCCTACAAATGGCATCGTAGAGCGTGAGCTCTTTTTCTGGGAAGAGATGTCTCTCTTCTTTCTCTCAGCACAGTTTATTTCATGAGCCATCCTTACTGTTCCAGAATGTCCAGACTGTTCTGCATAGCCATAGTCTGTTCCTTTGTACGACTGAATTGCATTTTGGTGTGTAGATATACCACAATCTGTTTATCTGTCCGTCTACCGAGGAATGCTGGGCTGTTTCTAGTCTGGGTCGGGTGCAAATAAAATGTCTTATAGAGGGATGCCTGGGTGGCTCAGTCGGTTAGGCGTCTGCCTTCAGCTCAGGTCATGATCCCAGGGTCCTGGGATGGAGCTCCACATCCAGCTCCCTGCTCAACAGGGAGACAGCTTCTCCCTCTGCCCTTCCTCACTCTCACGCTCTCTCTCTTTCTCTCTCAAATAAATAAATAAAATCTTAAAAAAAAAAAAACCTCCTATAGAGATGCTGTCCTCTCTCTTGGGTAATTACTTGGGAGCAGACTGTCCCTACTTACTGGATTCGTCACTAAGTGGCCAGACCGTATTCCAAGTTGGTTGCACCATTTTATGTTCCCACCATCAGGCGTGGGAGAGAGTTCTAGGCTTCTCTGCCACCTCCCCAGCTCTGGAGATGACCAGTCTTTCCAGTGTTAACCCTTCCAGTGTGTGTGTATAGTGGCCTTTCTCTGTGGTTTTCACTCACATTTCCCTATTGACTAATGATGCTGAACGTCTTAGGTAATGTTCCCCATCCCTCTAACCTCTGTTGAAATGTCTGTTTAAATGCTCATTTTTAAGATCAGGTCATTTACCTTCTTGTTAAATTTTATAGGTTCTTTTTTTCATGTGTTACGGGTAAATGTCCTTCTTTTTGGAGCCACATTTTGCACTTATTTTCTCTCAGTCTGTGATATGCATTTTCTTTCTCACAACAGAATCTTTTGAAGAGGAAACATTTTTATTTTGACAAAGTCTATTTTGTTTATTTGTTTTGCCAGAGGAGGCGGTGTTGGAACATTCCCTTACTTTCTAGCAACCCCAGAACTGCATTAAAAAAGGGTCTGCTCTGGGGTGCTGGGGTGCCTCAGTGTGTTGAGCCTCTGCCTTCGGCTCAGGTCATGATCTCAGGGTCCTGGGATAGAGCTGGGAGCCTGCTTCCCCCTTTCTCTCTGCCTGCCTCTCTGCCTACTTGTGATCTCTCTCTCTGTCAAATAAATAAATAAAATCTTTTAAAAAAGGGTCTGCTCTGGGGTGCTGGGGTTGCTCAGTCAGTTGGGTGTCCAACTCTGGGTTTCAGCTCTTGTCACTCTTTGGGTCGTGAGATTGAGCCCTGCATCTGGCTCCGTGCTCATCCCGGGGTCTGCTGGGAAATCTCTGTCCCTCTTCCTCTTCCCCTTCTGCTCAAGCGCTTTCTCTCTCTCAAATACATACTAATCTTTTTAAAAAGAGGTTCTGCTCTAATTTATCTAGGACCTAATTATATATTGGCAAAGGGCCTTTCTGAATATTTTAGTCAGCCCATATTCTCTGAAGCAAAAGCCCCTGTCCACTTCCTTCTATCTAAAACCTCCAGTTCTACAAGTTTTATAATTTTGAAGACACCAGGGAACTCTGTTGGCTTCCTTGTCAACAGGAAACTTCTAGTCCACCAAGCCCCTCCCATGGTGTCCTCTTGGAGCCAAACTTACTTTGCAGAGAATATTCCATCAGCCAAAAATTGTGTCTCTGTAAGATAAACAGTTACCCGAAGGGTGGAGAGGGGTTAAATATTTATTTTATTTAAGAAATGTCAGTTAATTAAAATACCATCCATCAGAGTTTACTTTAGTCAATAGGAAGCCAACAATCTGCTCTACAATTAAATTAGAATTATTCCAGCAGTCTGGACACAGTTTCATTAAAGTGCTCCTGGGCTCCTGTGAGACATCTTGCATTCTGCGTGCATCGGGCTGCCTTGGGCCTGTGTCTCCTCCAGATATTAACATTATTTTTCAAATAAATGCTAATGGGTGAATTACAGTCATCACACAGGCAAGCTTGTCTGCTGTAGCCCAATGCAGCCCCTTCTGATGCCTTTCTCCAGTAAATTAAGAAATCGCCTCTTAATTAACTGCTGGCTAGCCAGAGACATTTACTATTTTTGTGACTTTTCAGTTGCCTTCGTGATTTTCAAATACCTTCCTCTCTCAGCCTCCTGGAATCTAATGAGGGTGTTTGAAACACCGTCGTTGTCATTGTGTTTGAAAGCTGGGAACACACCTGCTTCGTGCTTGGGGCGGGTGGTAGCCCAGCTCCCTGTGTTGGGAATGCATGGGGTACTGGAGGTTGGCTTTTCTCTATGGCTTTTCAGGCTGCGAGTCAGAGAGTACCAGAGGTTGGGGGTGGAAACTGAGGCACAAAGGGAGTCCAGGACATGGCTGTGATGGCTCACCTGGTGCATGGAGATGCTGGTCTCCTTTCTGGAAGAACTTGCTTTCCCAAAGTGGGGTACTGCAAAGGAATGATCCGCTGACTGTTAAGGACTCATGGGCCTCCCTCAATGTACTCCTTGTCCCCCAGGGTGATGCTGGCCATGCTGCCGTTAGGTGAGTTCTTTTTGGTACCAAAATCCATTATTTGGAACATCAGTGAGGAGCTCAGCTAATTAATTAATAAGCTGAACTGATTGGTCATTTTAATCGAAGCTGAGCATTTTACAGCCCAGCATTGCAGCAGCCGTTTTTGAACACGCCAAAATGAGAAGATAATGACTGGGGTGGGGGCGGACCAAACCAGAAGTAGGTCACTGCACTTTACACTCTGTTGTTGTTGCATCCAGACCGTGTTGGCATTGTTAGGAGATTTCTTTCCTAACTTTATTTATTTTCTCTCTCTCTCCTTTCTTTGCCTTCCTTCAGTGATAAAGAACAGTAAGTATTTTGATACTTTAATTTTTCTACAAATTGAGTTTTATCTTTTTTTCTGATCAAATTAACTTTGCCCCTAAAGAGAGCTGATTAAAAAAAAAAAGAACTAGCAAATTTTACATAACTAAAAAACAAAAAACCAAAAAACCAAAACCAAGTTTCTTGAGGGAAAAAAATTATGAAGTTTCAAAAAAACGATCATGGTAAAAGGATGGAACAAATTCCTTAGGAGTTTGTTCCTTAGGAGCTCTCCGTTTTCTCCTTGTTAGTCATCTGTGGGATTCCAGCAAATTTATTGACCACCCTGTGCCCCTTCTATAGCATTTGCCTGGGAACAATGTTCTCAGATAAAGACAGTGTTGGCTCACATAACTGCTATCATTAATAAAAGGTGATAAGGAACAGAGCAGAGTCTGTGGGCAGTTACATGCCACACATATGGCCCCTGTCCCGTCACGGGAGCTCAGCCTGGTTTCCCAGCGAAGTGCTTTTGACGCAGAGGTCCTGTCTTTGCTTGCAACGTTTGCGTTTTAAATTGGATTTATTTCTGCAATATGCATGACAGATTGAATGCTGGGTCCAATAAGTGAACAGTCAGGCTGCAAAGGAGACCAGGCTTTGGCTGTGCACATTGAGAAGCTCTGGAAAGCCGTTTTTACCTTCCCTAAGATGGGGAAGTTATCACAGAGCCAGCGGCAGAGGACCCGGACTGGCGTCAGAAAACCCAGGTCTGAGTCCTGCTCTGGTACTCAGTTTCAGCGTGGCCTTGAGCCATGCCCTTCACCTCCTTGCTTCCCGGCTCCCTCCTTTGTAAAGTGGGTCTGATTACCCTGCTCCTTTTCCCTCTGCACGTCGGATCAAATGAGCTGTACAGGAAAGCTTTGTAAACTGGAAACCACCAAGCAAAGTCAGAGAGATTTATGAATTACAACCTTTCCTGACCTTTGTGTATATATACATGGTGTGTTTACACATATGCACACACAAGTACACATGCACACACACACATGTTGTATATATACCTTGCATTGTAATATATATATTATATTTATACCTGTATATACCATACATCTGGATATTATATATATACACATATACGTGTATATATCTAGCATTGGCATAATTTCAGCTCTTTTGGACCCAAGTGACCACATCATCAGGCCCAGAATCCTTAAAGGTTTTCTTAATGCTGATAAACATTTAACTAGGTGAACCAGGGAAATTCTTTCCCCAACTCCGACCCTCCCTCCCTATCTGTCCATTGCGGGCTTTGGACAAGCTGATCACTAAAGACCATTTGAATGTTCTGCAGTTTCTGTTGTTGGCTGGTAATACCCTGGCCAGATGAGATCAGCTTTTTATGAATGTCGTGAGTATATTATTCAGACATCCAGGGAGAGATGCTGAGATGTTGTTAGGTCATAAATACGGACATCCCCAGAGAGAGAAATTCTGGACTCCAGAGGGTGCCAAGGCTCTTGGAGGCTCCCTGAGGGCTGAAAGTCGAAAGGTAGGGTGTATGTTCATTCTCTTTCCCTCCTTCCTTCACCCTTCCCTCTTCCCTCCCTCCCTTCATTAACAAATACTCACCAAGTGCCTACCAAGTACCAGACACTGTGGTAAGCCCCAGGGATACAGCGATAGCCAGAGTAAGAGTATGTATCTTGTGGGATCTACCAACAAATAAATGGCCAGTTGGCAACAAATACACAAGCGTGCAAGGAGATACAATAGCAGAATCACAGTGGGCCATGGGAACACAAGGAGAGGCACCCAGCACAGACTTGGCAGTCATGATGGGAGAGTTCCTAGAAGAAGTGACATGTAAACTGAGACCAGGCGGCAGGGGAGCAAGATGGAGAAGAGATAGAGGAGTTCCAGGTAGGGGAACAGCAGGTGCAAAGTCCAAATAAGAGAGGAAGTGTGGAAATTTAGAGGAAGTGAATAGATCTCAGTCTGACTTAAAAGATTAGCAGGAGCCCTGAGATCCCCTTTAGCATTCTAAAGGGGGTGGGGGAGCCACAGTATCCCTTCTGCACCCCCTTTAGTCTGCTAGGGGTAAATTTCATCCAGTAGGGCCTTTATGCCAGCAGGGCGTATGTAAACTGTTTTGTGGTGAAGCAGCCTCTCCTTCCCCATCCTTTCCTCCCGGATTCATTAAAACCTCATTCACTGAGCTGGAAAGTGACTTCCTGCTGACACCTGCCTCTATTGGCATCCTGGGGAGAAGGGGGGTGGAGAAGAAGAAAGGAAAGAAAAAGGATTAATTTTCTACACACCACTGCTATTTAATGCTTCAGAGCCTTTGTGCCCCGACAGCCCTTCCATCATCCCACTCTTTTTGGGAATTATAATTTTTTAATAGAGACATCTGGTGGATATTTATTCTGTGACTTTTGTGTGTGTGAAATGAAGAATGGAGGTGGAAGGCCAAAGGGAGGAGGGAGTTTGGTCTTTGCAGGATTTTAGGGAGTGACAGGTGTCACTCAGGGGCTGCCACCAAGAGTTAGGACAACTTTCCTTCCTTGCTTTGGGGGCGTGGCTATTGACTGTGGGGCGAGAGCTCCTTCGGACCTTCTCCAGACTCACCTGGGCAGGTGCATTCAAGTGGCCAATGAGGCATGCCAGGATGCCAGTTTCTTGAGTTTCTGTGTCACACGTGCTACTCAGCAAGTCCCTGGTCTCCTTGGAGCATCAGTCAGCTGGAAAATGAGCTGGTCAGCTGCAGTGATCTTCAAACTTTGTTAGCAGTGAAACTCTTTCTTTGAATAAACTTAATTCAGAAGCTAAATATATAAGACAGATGAGAGGAGAGCCTTTAGTGGCTGAAAGCACTCAACATAGGATAGTGACATTCATGCAACTAGTCATTTCAAATAATACCAAACCATAAAATAAATATAGTGGCTCTAACAGGCTTTGCTTTAGTGTGCAGTCGCCATAGCGGAGAGTGTATCAGTTAGCTTTTGCTGTGTGACAAGCCATCTTAAAACTGAGAAGCATAGAACCATAGTTATTTATTCCCAGGGTTCTGGGCATGGCTGGTGGCCCTGCTGGTCTTGCCTCGGCCTGCTTATGCATCAGAGGGTTGGCTGATCTAGGACAGCCCTGGCTGCAATGGCTCAGCGCTGTTCCACATGCTTCTCATCCTCCAGCACTCTGTCCTGGGCTTGCCTTGCTCACGGCAGAGGTGTAAGGGAGGAAGCAGAAACGCAGGAGACTTGCGCAGGCTCAGATTCAGCAGAGGAGCACAACATCACTCCCCTGCATTTTATTGGCTGCAGCAAGTTGTAAATCTGGGAAGGATTCACTGGCAGGGAAATAGACTAACTGTTTGGTGAGAGTGAGTTGAAATTCACATGGCAAAGAGCATGGATATTTGGGAGGGTGAAGTATTGAGGTCATCAATGCAATAAACCATATTTCATGCTTTATTAAACATCAGGTTCTTTAAAATTTTTTCTTTTTCTCCTTCTCCTCTTCCTTCCCTTCCTCCTCCTCACCCTCCTCCTCCCCCTCGTCCTTCTTCTTCTTCTCCTTCTCCTCCTCCTCCTCCTCCTCCTCCCTCCCCCCCTCCTCCTCCTTCTCCTTCTTCTTCTTCTTCATTGGGATTCTGCTTTGAGAACCCAGCTGAGTAAGGATGGAGGGCCAGGTTAACTGCCTACTCTGTCGCTCTCTCCCCCACTCCTCTGCAACCCTTGAGATCTCTCCAGGGAACTGCTGAGGACAGTTTGGGAGGACCAGGAAGCAGCAATCATTCATTTCTCCAGGAAGCATTGTCTTAAGTATGTGGATCAGAGTGGAGACGGGCTGGGCTCTTCTCTTCCCTGTCTTAGCCAGTGAGCCAGGTCTCCCCTCATATGGCCTTTAAGGGTCCAGAGTAACCTCTCAGGGTCCCTACAGGAAACAGAAATTATATCATTCCCATTTTAATCGATCCAGAAACTGATATTCAGAGCAGTGCAGAGCCCTCATGTATAGCCTGCTTATACGCAGCTGACCCAGGATTACGACCTTGAACTCTACCCGGTCAGCAAGGGTTCATGTTGGCTGGCAATGGCCCTCTGGATATTTTCTGGCTTGGATAGGAGGCTGTGAGTAACTTGTTCAAAGAAGCAGCACTTGGGTCTCTAGCTTTGGTCTTGGATAAGTTCCCAACACTGGACTCTGGTCTTTAGGATGTGGAGCTACAATCCCCTGCCCAGAGGCCCTTGGCAAGGGAGTCACTGTCCTGTCATGGGAGCATTCTTGAGGGTCCCATGTTCACAGTGCTCCCCAGCATATCATGGGGAGACCCAGACAGACCCAGTCTCTCCCTTGAGAGCAAAGGCTTTGGTTTGAAACACCATCTCGTTTCCCTCTTTTGCTTTTGGAATTAAAACATGAAAATCCACAGGAGGCTTGTGAGTCCCCCACGGAGACCAGTTGGTGACATTTTCAAACACTGAATGAGCTGTTTGTCAACTGCATGTTTTGGAGCCGAGAATGGGAGAAGGGTTTGGAGAGATGCTGGCAGCCTCCAGCAGACCTTCTGCTTGACTGCAGATGGAGGCAGAAGTCTCAGGTGGGCCCTGTCAGGGACCCCCATCCTTGCTTATGTTTCTGGAGACATGTATGTCCAGCAGCACCCATTTCCTGTGCACATGGACCCCAGTAAGCTGTGTGTTGGGGTGAGAGGAATCGGTCTCACATCAAGCCCTTGGCTGACCCTGTCTTTGACCAGACCATGAGCTGCAGGAACATGTCCTCGCAGGGGTTTTCACTGGGTGCACAACCCAGCATCTCACCTATGCTCTGTTTTGGTCACTGAGATGCTTTGTAAAGGCAGGACGTAAGCAGAAAGAGATCAGAAGAGGAGGAAGGAAAAAAAATGGGGACAAAGGAGGGAAGAATAGGGACAATTGAGACATCCATTTCCGTGGGAGGCCAGAGGGATATGGGGAGGTGGCCGAATCAGGCTGTGACTAAGGCTCTTTGGGAAGGATGACTGGTCTTTCTTATGCGGCAGTCCAGTGTGTCCTTTAAAAATACTGGGAAGAAGCAGCAGATGAAGGGATGTTAGCACATCGTAAGGAGATCTTTTTAACACAACATCAGAGACTCCTTATAAGAGAGTGAGGTCTCTGTTGTGGGGAGCATTCAAGTAAGGCAGACAGCCAATGGTCTCTACCTCTGGTATTCATGACTTTGTGTAATCCCTCACCTTGAGTCTGAGGACCTGGGACCTGTTTCTAATCTACAGAATACAGCAAAGGGACCCAATGTCCCTCTCATGATTATGTTATATTATATAAGACTCTCAGCTGATAGAAGCTAGATTCACTGGGCATATTTGAAGCCAGCAGCCCACGGGACGAAGCTGAAGAATCCCACCAGGTTAGGAATTGCAGATTGCCTCCAGGACCCAGGGGTGGCCTCTTGACTACAGCTAACAAAAAGCCAGGACCTCAGTGTAGGCAGCTGCAAGGAAGCTGCCAACAACCCAAATTTGCCTGGAAGCAGATTCTTCCCCAGCCAAGCCTCCAGATGAGAACACAGCCCAGTCAACACCACCCTGCAGCCTCATGAGACTCCAAGCAGAGGACCCAGCTGAGCCATGCCTGGACAGACACGGAAACCATGAGATAGTACATGTGTGTTGTTTTAAGCCCCTGAGTTTCTAACAACTCATGATGCAGCAATGGAAATTGTATACTGACACTGTAGATGGGTCTTTATACCCCTCTGTCTCTGTCCTCCAGCCGGGTTTTTCCAGTTATTTAATGCTGCACACCAGATCACCTCCAACTTAGTGGCTCAAGACAACAGAAACCACTTGTCACATCTCACAGTTTCTGTTGGTGGGCCTTTGAGGGTGGCCTCAGGGTGCTTCTGGCACAGGGCTCTTTGTGCAGCTGTAGTCACATGCCCGCTGGGCTGCAGGCATTCCAGGGCTCACCAGGGGCTGGAGGAGCATCATGTAGCAGTCAAGTTGGCACTGGCTGTGACTGGGGTCCTCCATCCCTTGCATGTGGGCTTCTCCACCGGGATGTTTACACGTCCTCGTGACATGGCACCTGGCTTCTCTCTGGGCAAATGACCCAAGACAGCAAGGCAGAGTCTCTTATGACCCAGCCTTGGAAGTCACACACTGCCACGTCCACTGTATTTCACTGGCCACACAGGACCAGCCGGGAGTCAGTGTAAATACCTGGAGGCAGTGGTCCTAGGGGACCATCTTGCAGGCGGACTATCACATGGCTCTTCACCTCCACCGGCATTCCTCCTGCCTTCTCAACTCCAGGCCTTTGCAAAGACCATTTATTCCCTCTGCCAGGTCTGGTCTCTTCCTCTGCCATGCCCTCGTGGATTTCAGCTGAGATCTGGGGTCTCTGCAGGAGCCCTAGCTCTGCTGCGGGGCCCGAAGCTTATATCCGTGAAGGGGCCCTCTTTAAGATAACAAAGACAAAAATACCTTGCTTTTGCAAATTTTTCAACCACTCAGCCATCGCTAATGCCCTTCTTGGGGTCTGAGAAGCTGGCTGTGCAACCAAATGGTCTCAAATATAAGCTTTGTCAACATCACAGTAGACCCATCGCGAGGTCCTCATGTGGCTGTCACTTCCTAGGGAGCTGTCCTTGGTCCCCTAGACAGACCAGGTTCCACTGCTTGGGTCTCCCAGTGGGTCACACTTTTCATTAGACATTTAACACCTCTTTGGGCCACAAGGGACCATGTCTTATTCAAAATCCTTCTGGGCTTTCAGACACAATTCTAAATACAACTGGTCCAGGGCCAGACAAGGCCCCTGCCCTCCTGGAAGCAACATTGTTGGGGGGTAGAGGGATGTATTAAACAGGTAAACAACAAAAATTTTTCCAAAAGTAATTTCAGTTAATGATGGGTGCCATGAGGAAAGTAAATCTGGATGGTGGGAGATCGAGGAAGGCCTCTCTGAGAAGCTGCTGTTTGAGCTGAGGCCTCAATAATGAGAAGGAGCCGGGCCTGGAAAGGTCCATGGAAATAAGTTTTCCCAGCAGGGGGAACAGCAAGTGCAAAGGCCCTGAGGCAAGAACAAGGGTTCAGTGTTCAGAAGTGAGCAGAGAGGCCAGTGCAGCTGACTGTAGGGATAAGGGAAAGCAAGAGGCCATAAGGATGGAGAGGCAGGTTAAGGACAGAACGGGTAGGATTTTGAAGATGGGCAAAATCTTTTAGAGCATTAAGGTAGAATTCTCACAGTAACATAACATTTAACTGTTTAAAAGTACACAATCCAGTGACATTTATCATATGCACGATGTCGTGCTCCCACTATAGCCATGAAGTTCTGGGTGTTGTTCTAAATCAGTGAGAAGCCCTGGGAGGGTTTGGGCGGCGTGGTCCCAGCAATTTCGCAATTGCTCATCCCCAGAGGCCCTTGCTGCAACACAAGGTGTATTTCCATGAGGAATTTCCACAGGCCACACCTTCCTTCCCTTTCTCAGAGTAAGGTCTGCCCCTAGACATCTGTCTCTCTTCGCTTTTGGGCTCTTCCTTCTCCGCTCTCCAGAACAAATCAGCTGAGGGTGGGAGAATGGAAGAGAAGCCAAGGGGAGGGAGGAAGATGGGGCTTTTAATTTCCAACTTTGAGTGTCAAAAGGCAATTTCATGCCTGCTGATGTGATTAGAGCAGTGGAAATAATAGAGGCTGACAGCTAATGGGGTGCTGGCTTCAGAGGATTCCTGCGTAGTGTTTTTTTTTCCCTTGCAGGGACAAGCATTTCTAGTGGTGTTTAACCTTGCGCTCCACTCAGGGGGTGTGCCTCAGTGCCACGGGGCAGGGACCATCTTATTAGCAGAGATGATTATAATTTGCCATAGACCACAGCATCAGCCCTCCACCCCGCAGACTTTGATCCACTGTGCCCCCACTGGGGCTGTGTGGGGAGGACTTTGGTTTCCCTCCGTACTGTGGAGGTTAAGTGAGCAGCCTGCCCAGCTCAGAATTCCACTCTGCAACTTTCCAGCCATGTGACTGTGGGCAAGTGGTCTCTTTTCTCCATATTCGAGTCTCCTCACCAGTAAGCAGACAGGAACAACCCCTGCCCTGTAGAGATCATGGGAAGATGACATGAGGTCATGTGGGCACCCAATGGATGCTATGTCAGTGTTGGCTTTAAAAAATTTTTTAAAAGGGCCAAGAAAAGTATATTTTGGAACGCAAAATGCTGTGGGAGATTTTGAGGCTGGAAATCTGGATGTTGATGTGAAATGAAGAGCTTTTTGTAAATCCAGTTTGCAATTAGATCCAATTTATAGAAGAAATAAATTGTAGCCCAAACAGAACATCTGTGCCAGGCAGAGCTGGCTCAACCTGGGACCCCGGGCCTCTGACCACCCTCCCAGAATTGTTTCCGCTCCAGCTGTAGAGTCTCCTATTCTGGATTCTTCTCCTGAGAACACCCTTATTCTCTCGGTTCTTATGAGCATCCTGCAGACACTGCTCACAGAGTATCTACCACGTGCTAAGTGCTTAGTAGAAATAAACTCCTAAGAACCCTGTGAGGGAGGAAAGTGTGTCCCATTGTACAGATGAGCAAACTGAGGCTCATTTCCCAGCCAGCAAGCTTCCCGGTGGGGATTTGAATTGAGGTTTTCCAGACCCCAGGAAGCAGAGCCTAACCACCACTGCCTGCTTCCTGCTGGGCACTCTGCAGTCTCACGCCTCCCTGTATTACCTTTCAGGCTCCAGGCAGGCTGGTCCGTCCATCCCAGCGGTCAGCCCGACAGACAGAGGAAGCAGGAAGAGCTGACAGATGAGGAGAAGGAAATCATCAACAGAGTCATTGCTCGAGCTGAGAAAATGGAAGAGATGGAGCAGGAGCGAATTGGGTGAGGCCCGACATGTCCCATCCACGTGGAGAGCCCCGGAGGCCTGAGGGCCAGCAGACTGTGCTGCTGAGGGGTGTGCTGGGGTGGGGCGGACTGCCCCGGGTTGTTGCCCCCCACCACCACTGCCCCCTCCCCTGCGTCCGGCAGGACTGGAATCCTTGTGGCACGAGGTGGGAGAGCTCAGGAAGGAGGAGACAAGATGAGTTGGGGACTGGCTAGGGAGGGGGCTTCGTGGCTGGGGGTGCCTTACAGAAGGGGAGCTCTGAAAGGGTGGTGGGAGCTTGTCTTTGGAGCCTGGGGGTCTGTGGTTGTGAGCACAGGGCGTCTGGGCCAATCTCAGCTACATAGAAATATGTTCTAGAAGCATGGTAGGCCAGAATGTACAGCCAAGGGAGAGGTAAGGAGGGGAGTGTCTGTCTAGGGATGGTATGTCAAACAGCACAAGTGCAATGAATTTATATAAGAGAACAACAGAAACAGATCCTGAAATGGGGAGACAGCATGAGAGGGAGGCGGCAGAGGTTAACCTGGTGGGTCTGGACTCCAAGAATGGCGGTGGCGGGGGGGGTCATCCCAGCTCCCTGCTTATCCGCTCTGGTTCCCCAGCACGATGCCTCACCTCTCTGAGCCCCTGTTCATGTGCTGGTCCAGTGGGGGACACGACAGTCTATCTCACAGGACTGTTGTAAACAGTAGGTGCGATGATGCACGTACAACGTCCCAGACCCCAGGGACACTTCATTTTCATAAATGGAAAGAAGAAGGGAAAAAGTAGAGTTTGGAGGACAGAGCTTTTCAAAATGCGTATGAGAGAGAAGCAAGGGATATAAGGAGGCCATGTGACATGTGTATCAGAGAGTGACAACATCATTGAAGAAGGCCAAGGTTAGGGAGGGAGCAGTATGTGGGTGCTCTTACAAAGGGAGGAATGGGGGAAATAGGGGTGACCATGGGGGTGGGGAGAGGGGATAAAAGGAAGATATATGTATATGGGGGGCTCTTGGCATAGTGGTCAGGATGCCAGGCCCCAGGAGGGTCCTCCCAGACCAGGATCTCAAATGGACCCCCTCCTCCGCAGCCCCCTCCACAGGCCCCTTCTGTCTGGGGCAGCCTTTGCCAGTGGCTTACAACTGGTGTGGGCACTGAGGTGCCCGTTTAGCTCTCCACACACACTCTCAGCTGGGGTGAACGAGGATCTTGGACAGAAAGTGGAAGTTGGTGTCTTTGGTCTGAGCCTCTGCAGATCATTTTACCCAGGGTGGGATGGGGACTGTTGCTGACAGATGACAGACACCTGCTACAGCCGGTGTCAGCATCACCCTCCACCCTCCGTCTGCTTACGCCGGAGGCTGCTGAAGGGATAGGTCTGCAAGGGCGTGCTTGTGGGCTTGCATTCTTATTTTGCTTTTTAAAAGATATGCCAAGAGTGGGGAGTTCTGCAGGCAGGAGGTCTGTGAGTGTGAGTGTGTGTGTGTGTGTGTGTGTGTGTGTTCACTTCACCCAACAATGGACCTCAGCCTTTTGAAGTGAGGGATACGGGTAATAAGAATAAAAGCTTAAAAGCAAAACTCCTCTTAGCCCTTTTCTGCCATAGCAATTACCACCAGATAACATCGTTCCTATTTTGCATAATTAGTTTGACTATTGTATATCTCCCTGTCAGATTGTAAGATTACTGAGGGTAGAGGGGTTTTTTTGTTTTTTGTTTTTTGTTTTTTTGCCTGTTTGGTTCACTAGTGAATTCTCAGAGTCTACAACATAGTAGGGGTGCTGAAAAATAATTTGTTCAATGAGTGAGTGAACAAGGCAGACCGTGCTGCCCCCAATTACTTTAGACATAATATGCCCTGTGGCCAAGAGGGTGCCAGTTCCCAGGGAAGGCGCTCTGATTGGCTGGTTTATGTCAGGGGCTGTCTCTCATCCAATCAACTGTGGCTGGGGGTACAGCCCTGTTGTACAAACAGGGCATGTGTGCTTCCTCTGGGGGAAAGTTATGGTGGTCCCTCTGGGCAGAGCTTGAGCCTTCTAGAACAGGATAGATGGGTTCCCTACCTTGTCCTCTGTGTCTTATCATATCACCCCAACTAGCTTGAGGGTGTGGCAGAATATTCTAGCACAGTGGTTAATTCCTGGGGCCCCTGAGTCAGAGATACCTAGGTTCAAATTCCAGCTCTCCCCACATCCCCTCTATGTGACCTTAGGTAAGCCACTTTAACCTCTCCATACCTCAGTTTCCTCATCTGTAAAATGGGGACAACGTTAGCACCTAACTCTTAGTGAGTGTTTAGTTAGGGTGCGAAGGGTTATCATAGTGTCTGGCATAACCCCATGCTCCATAAAGGGTGGCGGTCCTTTAAAGATGAATTTGTTCAGGAAGCTCAGTTTTTGACCCTGACCAAGGCCTCCGTTCTAGAATTATGCCCTGAGACTCCTGTTTGGCAAGCCCTGGAATTCCAGCAGCCCTGGCCTCCCTAAAGGGAATTTGAGAGGCTTCCAGGGAGGCCGAGGCCAAGCCCTTTGATGACAGAGTGTTCTTTTGCTGAGATGGTATGCTTTCTGCCAGAGTGGGGGAGGACAGTGCTGCGGGATTCTGGCTGTGGCTCTTCTCCTGCACTGTTCCAGCAGCTGGTGCCTGCTGGTAGCATTGCCAGAGGCAAGCCCAGTGTGGTTTGTGTCTTACGATCTCAAACCTGCCCTCATTCCTGTTCCCTCCATGCTTCCCTGGGAAGAGATCAGAGCGGAGTCAGATAAAAGCAAGATGACACATCAGACACAGAACAAGGCTCAGAACGGCGTGCCATCGGGGCTCCCACTTCCGAACCTGGGGCTCTCAGTCAGTGACCCTTTGGGACCTCAGTCCCGCTCCCCTCCATCTAATAAGGCAAGTCAGGCTGATTCTCAGGATCCTGAGAATAGCTGGGTGTGTCTGATGGAGGACCCTGCACCATGCATTGGCTGGCCCTCTCAGAGCTAATGAGCTCCTTCTAACTGTTAAAATTGCAGATGTATCTGAGAATCTTTTCGGGTTCACACCAGCTCTGTGATATGGAAGCTTCTTTCCTATTAACTGAGGGAAAGCCAACAGGTAAATGATCATCATCATACTAGGTACCATTTACTGAGCATTTATTATGTGCCAAACACTGAATCTAAAACTTCCTATGGATTAACTCTTTAACTGCTCCTCTCAACCTTGTTGAGTAGGTGCTACTATTGTCCTCCTTTTGCAGGTGAGGAAACAGGGTCAGAGAGGTGACTGGCCCAAGGTCACTTGCCCAAGGTCACATAGAGCCAAGGTATACAGTCCTGTCTGGCTGACCTCCAGCATTTTGCTTTTAATTCTTAGGTGTCTTTCCTAAAATCCTGGCCCCAAGTTCTTAGACTCTGAGGAACATGGAAATTTTATAAGCTCAGGTGTGGAGGGGTACACTGTGTGACTAGAAGCTTGAGCCCTTTGGGGGCTGGCCTAGTGGTTTCTTCGAGTTCTCGTTCACTGGTTTGAACCTCTAGATCTGCCGGTACTGCATGTTCCCGTGGCTCTCAGAGATCTGGGGAAGAATTGCCGTCAGGCCTCCCAGGAGGCCCTCCCTCCCTCCCTGGGGCGCTTTGGCTAGAGCTGGTCACCCCAGGCAACCGCAGGCAAGCATCAGGCAAGAGCTATGTCTCTCCCAGAAGCCTCTTTGCTTCTGACCTGCGGGGATAGGGGGGTGTGGGGGGGGTGGGAAGCAGGGGCGGGGTGTCCAAACCTTGCTTCACTGCTCAGCCTACAACCCAGCTCTGCTCTCTTCAGCATCCCTGCAGAGAGAGATGATGGCCAGCAGGGAAACTCATTAAACAGCCTCCTTTTGCCCCCACATTCCTTACTGAGGTGCTGAGTGGGATAGCAGAGTTTATTTTTCACACCTCGAATGCTCTTTGCAGGAAAAGAAATGAATTCCAGGGAGATTGCTTGAGTCATCTCTTGTTCTATAACTGTTCTATAACAGTCACCTGGAACTTAGGGACTCAAAGCAATAGCAATTGTGCTGTCTCATGATCCTGTGGGTTGAGCACTCGGACAGGGCTCTGCTGGGTGGGTTTTCTGCTCCGTGCGGCGTGGGCTGGGGTCACTCAGCTGCATTCAGCTGGTGGCCGGGCTGCATTGGGAGGGCCATAAAAGCTCAGCTCCTATGTCTGTGCTTTGGTGCTCTCTTTGTGGCCCAGCCTTTCCGTGGGATCTCTGCCCTTTCTGTAATCTGGCCTGAGCTTTACATGGCAGCGGGATCCCAAGAGAGCAAAGATGGAAGTTGCTAGGATTCTTAGCAGCTGGGTCTGGAACCGGTGGGGCTTCACCCCTCCACGTTCTCTTTGAGAGGGGAAATAGGTCCCTCCTCCTTCTGGAAGAATGCTTAGGTCCCCAGGGAAGGATAGCGTTAATGGTGGCCATCTTTGGAGACTCTACCACCTTATGCAAAAAGGTGAGTTTAATATAAGGATTGGGAGCTATCTCAGGGGACCCAGGGGCAGGAACACAGCCTGGCCTCAGGAAAGTTTCTTTTCTCCCCGCTTGGTTTTTATAGCCTCACTCCCCATTCCTAGGAAAGGAAGTCCAATTAGGTCACCCATCTCTCATACCAGGGGTGCCAGGTCACACCGGCGTGGCTGCCAAGGGTGAGAAGGACGTTTGTGAGTTGGACAGACACCCATAGGGTGTCCACCGGACTTTTCAATGTATTGACTCTGCAGTTAAACATTTGCCTAGGAAAATCTGTTGGTGGTTTTGTTTTGTTTTTACCAACTGGCAGGCCCCTCTGCGTCCTTACATTTCTTTCTGTCCAGAGCCTCTCAAAGGCATTGGCTCACATATCCTGCCTGTGCCAAGGGACGGGTAGCTGGGTAGCTTCCATCTGAGGTCATTTTCCCTAAACAGATGGGCCCCAAAAAGTAATTAGGATTTGTCATTAACCTTGGTGTCCAGACGCTGTGATGGAGGAGGAAGGCAGAGAGACACGGAGAGACCT